TGTGTGTGTAGGTGTGTAGGTGTGTGGGGGGGTGGGGATCACGTCCATGCGCGCGCGAAATGGGGCGTCTCGCTTTGTGCTGGTGGAGTGTACCGCCGCGGTGTGGTGTGGTGGCGGTCCGCTGGCGGCAGCGGCGCCGGTTGTGGCTGGCGGAGGGGCCGGTAAGTGGAGGAGGGGGCGCGAGCGGGGCTTCCCCCCCATTGTTTTCCGGCTCCCTAAGCCCCTTGTAGCTCCGCCGGCTCACGGTGGCTGCGGGCGGCGGCGGCAGCGAGCACGGCGCGGCGGGCCCCGCGGCCCACGGTGGCGGCGGCGGGGAGGCTGCTGGCAGCGGCGGGAGCGGCGGGTGGCATTTGAACGGTGATTACACAACGCTGGCGCACTTTCCCACGTTTAAAGCGGGACTTGACACGGCGGGGCGCGGGCAGCGGAAACAAAACATGAATATGAATGAGTACCCCGCCCCTCTACTGGCTCTTTGTTATCTGAGATATGGCCGTGGCCGGGAGGTCGATAATTCGCAGTCGTCTCGTTTCTAATCGTTATTGCAGTTGAAAATAAAAATAAAACCACCACACCGATTTATTTTGTGTGTGCTTCGAATTTCCAGCGTCGGCGCTCCCTGGCCAGCCAGGCCGTGGTCAACTACCAGAGCGCCGGGGAGGCGCCACCTCCGCACCGCACCGCATACGCGCGCTTCGGAGACTCGGACGACTCGGACTGACCGGTTGGGCGCCGAGCACCCGCACCCAGCTTGGCAGCCGAACGCCCAGCTGCAGCACCTTCATGTGAATCTGCAGCACCTGTCACTGCACCTCGAGTGTCGGCGGCCGCGGCCCTGTTAGACGCCTACGTCACGTCGCTCCCGCGCCAGCCCAGCTGGCACGGCAGGCCGCTGTAGCCCCCGAAGATCAGCACGTTTTCTGGAAAAAGCTTATAAGGGAGTTCGAATTTTTCGAAGGGAATTTTTTTTTCCGGCATTGCATCTCTACTAAGTGTACACACAGGTGCAGCGGGACCCGCTCGTGTCTCACAGTCAGCTTGTAACGGCACAAGAAAATACAAAGGACGACTGCGTGCCTTACGGAAGCCTGGGTGATCAATCAATTTTGCAAACGTGATTGAAAGCTCCCGAGGCAACACAAGTTAATTTGAAAGTTAGTCTTTGAATTGTACAAGGCGTGTCCGTCAGGCACGGTTTTAAGGGAGCCCCCCTCTCCCTCCCGGGTCGGTCCAAATCGCCCCATACGGTAGGTAGGAAATTTGTCGTACAAACCCGCTAGCATATCGCAGAGGGACTTACAACCGCGCTGCTGTACGTTATGGTTGGTTGTGCGGAGTGGGTGATTTGCGTCCTTGAATACTGGTTATAGAGCGACAAAACATATTTTGAATCATATTTTGACATTCTCTTCCTCCAGCCTAGCAATCGCGTGTTAAAACAACCACATATATGGAGCACACTATTCCTTCCTTTACATTTCGCTATTTTTTAGGGGTCCGTCCGAATCCGTAGCTGCACTTTTTTTGAAATTTGTGACACTTATTTGAAACTACAGACGGTTGATCTTAATTAAGCACTGATCCGGGGGTTCAGTCGCTTCACCGCATGGAGACGCCCTGGTAAATTTGCAGGGATTCGTTCAGAAAGTAGACCCGATCTTCTCGTATTCTTTCATATAGGCGCCTGCGAAACTCAGGGTAGGCCAGCCCGCAGTACACGTACGCATTACAGACAAGGCGGTGCCTACCTAACAGGCGCTATGAGAGCTTACAGAAGGCTGAACTTTCATTTTGTATGCATGACACAACGACGCTCATCAGTCTCAGTATCGCCCACACGCTTCCTGCATGCGGCGCTGTATGCGAAACCCTGTATAACGAGGCACTTATGTATAAAATTCCCTCGATCCGAACAACCCTCTAAAAGATACATCCCTGCCTCTGTTTTACCGGTGGAGTATCGCGTATACTCGTTAGGGACATACATTCATAACTGGATATGAAATCATAACGCCCGTTCTCGAGCAGTATCCTTTAGTAATTAATGCAGATCAGAGTCACTGCAGCGCGCAGTCGGACCGACGGTCCTCGCGTTCGCGCTCGACTCCATCGCTGACCTGCATAAACTCGATGCCTAAAGTTCGTCATATTAGCTTCGCCCATTATGAATTTTGCGAGGGTCGTGGTGCGGGCAGCCCGTGTTTATGGAGCTACCATACAAGCAGTCATTGGGAAGGGAAAGGAGGGGGGTGTAGGGCTATCTCCTACTCTCGCGGAATAGCACCCCTGCCGTTGGCAACACTGTTCGATCTAACACCCCCGAGGGCCGAGGAGTGTGCTTCTGCTACACTGTCATCTCATCAACATTTCTCCAAAAACTACACAAAGGTTAAAATAATTAATGTGATGTATGAGCTTACATACATAACATCAATAATGTATTGGCGAATTCTCTTTTTACCACATCTCTTTCCTAGCTTATCGTATCAGCCGCTAGACGGAAACGAAAATGTTTTCTGCAAATTCATATAACACATGTAACGCAATACGCTCGTTTACTTCCTCTCTTTTCATTCTCTTTAAAGTTCTCCTATAAAATGTATAATAATAATTATGTGTCACGAAGCAAGCAAGCAGACGATCCGTAATAAATGGAGCGGTCCGACAGATTTGCGACACAACAATAAATGATTGGGAGCGGACGTTTCCGCGAAATAAAAGCTGTCCTTCTGTTCTCTCTCTCTCTCTCTCTCTCTCTCTCTCTCTCTCTCTCTCTCTCTCTCTCTCCCTCTCTCTCCTACTCCCTGACGAGGCCGGCGTGATTAATGAACAGCGTCGTCGCGTCGCGCGATCGACGTCAATCCGACGTCAGTTCGACGTCAAAGCGATCGCTTCGATTGGATCGCAAGCGAAGCTCATCGGATTTTCATTTCATGAATCGGAGAAAGACGCGCCATGACCTCTTCCTGTTCGTTCGTCCGTTCGTCCATGGCTTCCCCCTCCCCCCTCCCTCCCAAACCCCAACATTTCCCACCCAACGCTACGCCATGCCGTCGAGCAGCGTCAGGAGGACTCGCGGTCGCGGTGCGTGCGTCTCATTCCAGCTTTACACCCCAATCTCCCCTTCTCTTTTTTACGAGAGCACACACACACAAACATACACTTCTTTATTTTACAGCGACCTCCCGCAACTGTCATCATCATCATGCAGCTGCTTGGCTCCTTTCTGCGTGTGACTGAAGTTTGTGTGGGTGTAATGGGAGAAGAGGGAGAAGCGTTTAAAGGGACAAAGCCTCAAGAGACGCATTGACTGGGTCGACCCAAAAGTGATCACTTTTGCATCAGCGGCAGAAAATGGGCTTCGGTGAAGGACAGTGAAAAGGGAGAAAACAAAAGAGGGTAACGTTGAAATATTTCAGGATAATTTATAGATAACGACGACAATATTACTGTCACTGAATCTGGATTTGTGATAAATTAACCCTCATTTCTGCCATAACTCGTTTTTTGCGATTCCTTCGATTTATCGCTTTTCTGGACATGATAAATTTTTATCGCAAAAAAACATGCAATAAAAAGTATAAGGGAAAGTTATCACAAAAATAATGTGATAATTTTTCATCGCAAGTTTTTGTGATAAACGTAAATACTAGCTCCCGTTATACACTATACTTTGCGATGAAAAGTTATCATATTATTTTTGTGATAACTTGCCCTTATCCTTTTCATTGCCTTTTCTTTTGCGATAAAAAGTTATCATGTCTATAAAAGCGATAAATCAGAGGAATCGCAAAATTGAGTTATCGCAAACTTTTGTGATAAAAGTATCATAGATCCAGTTTCAGTGCGTGGACAGCACGAGGAGGCCACCACTCGCGTAATCCTGTGTAGTCTAGAGATGGAAGTGGAATCCCCATGTTATTCGTGTAACAATTAACTAAATTTTAGATATTATCACTAAATTTCACTTACTTACCCAAATTTAATGTATTTAGGCCCAGACACTCAACAAACCTCATGGGTCATCACAAAAAATTCACGTGTAATCCCTGTAATCACCTAATCCTGTGTACATCCTAAATCGAAGTGGTGGCCCCCTCCGGACAGCAGGGGGTAGGGTGGGTAGAGAGACGAAGCACTGGCGGGGTAGGTGGATCTTATATATAGTATATATTCCGGTCCTCTCGAAATTACACGCGAGGCCCCATCCCGTGCTCTCGTAAGCCTCCTCGCACCATGCTGCCTGCGTGTGCCCGCCGACCCTCTAAGCCCAAAGCCCCCCCTCTCCCCGGCACCACCTTCCCCCGTAAGCGGTGCACGCTGCAACGATGGGCATTTGGGACGGCGAGAGGAGAATAGAGAGAGGGGGATGAAAGAGACGCGGGGAAAGGGCAGAGGGGGATCGGGATTGGACGTTATACAACCAGGGACGTTCCCGTTTCTGCTAGGTCGGGGATTGTTAGCCGCCCGGAAAAGAGAAGACGAGATCCTCCGGCCGAGCCAGGCCAGGCCGCGCCTAGGGGTGGCGTAGCGTGGCAGCCCAAGGCAGAGGCTTTAGCTGGAGAGGCTCCACCGCACGTGCGCAGGAGAGAGAGGGGGAGAGGGGGAGAGGGGGAG